CATGTGTTCAGAACACTCTTTAATGAAGCAGAGAGCACTGGAGCAAATACAACGTACAGCACATTTTGCGTGCAAGGCAGGAGCAGATACTGCTTAGCAAAGCATTTTGCCGCATGGGGTAGAGCTGCCCCAGCTTTCCATGCACACATTTGACCACTCCATTATTATTAATACAGCAGCTCTCTCCATCCAGATGGATATCCTGTCCCAAGCTTCCAATTTGAACCTGGGCCAAGCAATTCCAGTGGAAAACTTTTAATAGAGGCTAATATGAAGGTCACTTCATTTCTAACGCAGTCCTAGCTCTGCACAAATCCCTGCTAAGGACAGGATATCCAGACTGGAGGACTAAGTATCATCATGGAACCACCATCTGCCAAAAACTGAAAGAACTTTGAATGTCGTCATTTCTCTCTATCCCTTGTATCATACTATTATGTTGTAATAAACATCTATAGAATTTCTCTTTTGAATATATTTGCCTCTTGTCTTAATTTCTCAGTTGTCCCCCATTCCCTCATGAATTTGAAATCTATTGCAGGAAAAAAAGAAAACAAAGAACAACTGAGTTTAATCACAGCAAATCTTGCTAGAAATTCTGCTGATGCAGCCAAAAAGCACGTCTGCTAGAAGGACACATGGCAAAAAGCCCAGTTTCGTGGGTTTATAGAAACACAAGAAGAGCAAGACACCAGAAACATAAATATTTGTCGCCTTTTGTCTCCTGATCAGAATGCAACTCAGATGTATAAGGACTAAGCACTGGGGTTGACTGCTGCTTGAGGTGCATTAGTACAGTCACTTAAAACTTTCAATAGTTCCATCAAAGGCAAGGTTCCTCTGTTTTAAGCAAACAGGTATGGAGCTGCATAATTTCCAAGTTGCCATTAGATAAATAACATGCCAGTGTCCACACACAAATCAAGAGTTTGCTGATATGTTTATTTCAGAAGACTGAAATGGAAATAACTATTATTTTTAAGAGCATTTCCCTCTGTTGCTCAGGTGATGATGAACAGCTAACTCAGTTACACAGGGTAACCAAAGAATGGTAAACATAACCCAGATGAAGCTAGACCAAAGGTAAAATAAAATGTAAAAACGCTGCATTAGCATTTCAAAATTTTTAGAGAGATTTCTGCAGGCCAGCTGTGAATAAGAGTGGGCAGGGTGCAATTCAATATACATACAGTGTGCAGTGCAGTACTGAAGGTGAAGGAAGAAAGAAGGGTTTGGTAAAACTTGACCATTCACCCAACAATCATCAGGGAATGACTGTGTGTTGGCTAGGCAATTGGTTAGAAGTCTGCATTCCCATTAAAGTGCCATACCTAATTTAGAAACAATGGATGTGGTTTCTTTTAATAAACTCTTACATCTTAAGTAGAAGGGTACAACAGCTTCAGTCCTCCTGAGCGTAAGACCAGGAATTTTACAGAGTAAAAATACAGCAGGTGTTACAATTCACTAAGAGGGAACCTGAATGTCCCCTCCCTCATGACATCCACCAGGTCTTCTGTGGCCCTGCCATTTGCCCACTGTTGACTCTCAGCTGGTCCCAACACTCAAAGAAAGACCTTTGTCCTCCAAGGCTGCAGGGCATATAACTGCACTAGGGCCCCCTTGACTGAACAGATAACCTTTCCATTTCATCCTTCACACCCATCACCTTGATCACATGTGTAAACTACTATGTTTTGCTGTTTACTTAGCTTGTTCCATTTTGTCAGTTGGTTAGGGAATTTGGGGGCTAGGAATTTTGTCTGCTCTTTTTGTGTTCACGGCTTCTTTTTTTCCTTTTAAAAAGAAAAAAAAAAAAGAAAGAAAAAAAAAGAAAAAGGAAGCAAGACAATGGATTTCACTCTTTAGTTATGTAACTCCTAAATATCTGTACCAAGAAAACGACACATACCTTCCAAAATGTTTAAGAGTTTGTTATTTTTTTTTCTTTTGAAGTTTGAATTTTCTAGCAGTTCTATTTCCCTTTCTGTGCTAATTAAAATAGATCAGTTTTGTAACTGATAAAGGTGCCTTTAGCACGTGTCCACAACAAGGAACATTGTGTGCTGTTACAATTGTTCAATAGATGCCCAGTCCCAGACAGATGGTGCTTTATCCTCACTCTTTCTTCAAGACAGCATAGTGCAGTGTCCTGTCAGGGATTAATGGAAGTGCCACTCACAGTAGATGCTAATTCTGGTAGCAACTCTCTTACTACACTACAGATGCTACAGCTAGTGCTTGCAACTAATGCTTGAAGCAAGCAATCCATGCTGGAGGAGAAACAGGACATTCAGAATCCAAAGTGAAGAGGACAATGCAAGAATTTATGCAAAATACAATCTCACAGTCAAGGAGAAGAGATAATAAAAAGGAAGACATGGATAGTGGAAAGAATTAAAACATGGAGAAACAGTACAGCAAAGATCAGAAACCAGTTGAGAAGTTAAAATAAAAAATCCAGCACAACAGAGAAAGTGCCTTATCTCAGTGATGGCCAACACATCACGTCATCAGAAACTCAGCACTAGAAAGGTGTCCTATAATAGGGAAGAGCAGCTGAAACACAGGACAGAGCAATGTTAGTGAGGGCACTTTATTCTACACCCCAAAGCATTATTGCTTTATAGAACTACATATGAAAGTTTAACAACTTGATTGGGCACACATTAATGAAAATAAGAGTCTCAAAACTGTCTCCTGGATAGCTACTCCATGAAAAAGACACTAGGAGAGATGTGCCTAAACACTATAAAAGACAGACAACTGAAAGATAAGTTTTCATCTTTCTCCTGGACCCTCTCTTTTTTGTTTAGATAAGAGATTTAAAATCCAGGACTAATCTGAGATGCTTCCACACATGCATAAAGTGGACTGAGAGGTACCTAGGCTCAAAAGAGCTTGTGCTACAGCACTTTTGTTGCATTTTCCTTCTGGTACTGTGCTCATTTACCATGGTCTGTATGTGGCATAGCATGAGAGAGGAAATCCAAGTATTGGACCTCTCTTTCTAAAAAGTCACTGGGGCATAGGAAATCTTTTGTGTTTGAGAGAAGCTCCCACATATTTACATGGGTGACAAATCTAGTTAGTTACTTCACGGTCATGAAACACAAAACTTCTAACTAGCATTATCACATCACTAATTGGTCAAGGGAAAATATGCCTTTCACTCTGCATTTCAGAGAAGGCTCCTTATTGAAGAAAGGGAAGAGAGGGAGGGAAGGAAGAGGCTATTCAGAGATGTTTATCAAATCTGAAAAGCCAGACCCTGACAGCAGATGGTAGGTGGCAAAAAGGGAGATTTTGTGAAAAGCTAGAACAGTATAAAAATAGTAGAAAGAAGGAAAACATTATGACATCAGGAAATATTAAAGTTTAAAGATATACAGGGAAATAATTTTACATTGTCTGTTGCTCCATTAATAGACAAAAATAGAGCAATAGAATAAATGCAAGGGGAATGACAAAAGCAAGAGCTATCTATCACTAACAAGCTTATGCACCAACAAGTAGCTTGACTCCAGCTCTTGAAATAGTATATTAGACCATAATGTTTTACAGTTTCTTCTGAGGGCTGGAGAAATGGCATATACTGTTAACTTCTTACAAGTCTCCAGTACCTCATATTAAGAAGCTATGGTCATGGTGAAAAGCAGATGAAATATTAAACAAGAAAACTACATCTAGTTCACAAAGTCAATGAGCTGTAAATCACAGGAAATTGGTAGGGTACACCAGGAAATTAAAACTGTGTACTTGTGCTATTCTCGTGCTTATTTGTCAGGGGATCCACTTCTACCAGGCACTAGGAATGGTCTAGATGAGCTAGATATATCTTTGGTCTGACATGATTGTTCACTTTTATGGTTTGCTTTATAATTTCTTTATGAAGAAATTACACATCAAGGAGATAGAAGAGAATTTATTAATGATGGTATACTGACAAAAAAAAGAGGCTCATTCCATACTCCAAGTGAACATACTTCAGCAACACACTTCCAGGCTCAGACCTCCTTACATCTCCATCTGCAACAGTTCTCACTTTTCCTCATCTGGATCTTTCTTGAATATTTGTTTTATTGTCCAGAAATTTTGCTGATCGTGTAACTGCATACAAATCAAATGCCAGAAGAACACAGATATTTATTTATTTTATGGTCCAAAATAATATTTCCAATTCAGAGCTACATGATGAACTTTCTCCTCTCAGTTACAAGTCTCCCTTTTATTTTTTGTTTTTCCTAATCCTTGTGCAGCTCTGCCACTACAATTACCACCTCATTTACAGTATGTCCCTATATTTCAGTACCAATGCAACCATGTAGTCTATGGGGATATTTATACCATCTAGGTCTAAGCACCTAAGTTGGTCAAGTTATTAACCAGGTGGTCATTGCACACTTCCTCTTCAGTCCACAGGGAAACATCAGATCCTTCAGTCTCCTTCAGAGCAAGCATATTACCATAGCCTGCAACTCTTGCTACTCTAGCCATGAGATTTTTACATGTAGAAGCTCCTAGCTGCACCAAATTTCATACAGTGCTACAAAATTTTCTTTAGTGGTAACCCAAGATAATGTGGGTTCAAGGCTTTAAAGCATAATGCACTCTCCTCTGCTACAAAGGTGCTGTTCTATAAGAGTCATAAGAGATCAACTCATCTTCACTAAAACCATATAGCATCCTTTAATCCCACACATAATTTTCCACAGGTGAAGCCCTATGCAGCTGTGTGAATAAATTGCAAATACTTGCAATAGTTCCAATTGGTTGAGCAAGATTCATTTTACTAATAACTCAGCACAGGCTTAACTTCTGCCAACCCCAACTAAATCAACTAAATGAACAAGCACTTGATGTATACGGGTGAGCAACCTTTGAGCAACATCAAAGTTACATTTTTCTAAAGTGATTTTTCTCCACCACAACTGTGTTAAAGCAGTTAGTCTTCAGTCTCATTTTTAATATGCTGTTAGTATCTATAAAACAGATCTTACCTTGATCTTCTGATGAGACCGGTGACCTGGAATAAAACAACAAAGTCCAGTCAATCTTTGGTATGAAAAGACCACAAATAAGGTTCACTGTCACTGTGGGGAATGGGATATGGGGAAATCTGAAGGTTTAATTCTTATATTTTACTGTTCATTCCTTACAAGAGAGGGCTGGAAGACATCTGACAAGAAAAGAGCAGAAAAGGGCAGAGATCTACTGTACCAGCAGGCTCTGCAGACCGGCAAGGCCGTATGGAGTCATGTCTGTAAGGCAGCTGCCAGCAGCAGTGTTAAGCATTTGTGCCAAGAGTTTCTGTAGGTATTTGGCATAAAACTTATCTACTACTGTTACTGTTGGTAACAGCTGACATTACTGGTGAGAAAGTCCTGATCCTCCACAGATTATTGAAGGTACCATAATTAAGTGTGGGCCAGGAGAGAACCTCACAGCTAGGGATGGTTGAGGAAATGACAGCTTCACAGGAACTCACAGTCATTAAGGTGAGCATTTTTTTTACCATAAGTCAATATAGTGGCTAGCATAAAACACCAGTCATAATTAATAACAGTTCAGGCCATTTTCACAACAGCAACAAAAGAGAAAAATAAAATTAAAAAAAAAAAAAAGAAAAATTCTGAAGAGATATAAGTACAGTAAAAAGCAACAACATAACAGCAGCAACACAAGTTACAAGGCTTAAGCCTCTGATAAAACTCCAAGAGGGTGAGGGGTGGTAAAATATAAGGGACCTCTCAGTGTCCCTGCTGTTGAACAGAAGGGCCCCATTGAATTGCAGGGATTTGTGTCACAGCTCCCATCACTAAGGATCACACTTCTCATGGTTTTGATCAACACCAATAACAAAGGAACATAACAAGGTGTAAAGTGTTTGCCCTCCGTTTTTCCCTTTGCCTAGCAAAACTGGGGCTAACTGTACAGACATATTTCAGATGTGCTTTAGTAATTTAGACCAGATTACAAGCACATCGTGGGCTAGACCATTGCCTCAGCAATTCCCCAGCAAAGATTTTTAACTGCATATATAGTCTTCCCACCCAGGTAACAATGAATTTGTTCCTGTGGTGAATGGGACAACACATGCTTCCTTTCCAAGAGATACTTGATTTTGCACCAATGTACAAAAACAACAAATTACTAAAGATTTAAAAAATGTTATTGTTGCCAGCAAGGAGATCAAAGTTAACATAAGAAAAGCAGGCACAGAGGGGTGAAGGGAAAAGAAGGAACAAAGGGGAAAAGAGCACATGTATTTAACTGAGTCAGCAGGGGCTGAGGGTTGGAGGAGGGAGAAAGAAGAGTTAGAAACCGTGGATTTAGAGGAATAAGGAGCTGAGGAAGGAGTCAAGATCTCATTCCAAAACAGGTGTCTGAAAATGAAGGTTGAGGGATTATAGGACATTAGAAGCAGATATGCAAATATGTAGATGCAAACAGGAAAGACAGAAAAAAAAGAAGGAAACTTTCCTAATGAGGTATGCAAATTATTAGTTTTTAAAAAGTGAGATATTTGCAAAAGAGGAAAGAGTTACAGCAGAGCTGGAGCAATGGTCACTGTGAAAGGAAAAAAATGTGGCTGCCTAATTAAGATTCTGACAGTGCAAGAAGCCAACATGTAGGGATTAGAATTAATTAATCCTCTACTCCCATTAAATTCTCTGATTGCTGCTGAACATCCTAGGCATGTATCCTGCTCTGCTGCCTACCAGTCCAGCTCTGCCCTTGCACTTCAACCCTGTCTGTGGCAGTACAGTAGAAACACAGGTAACCCGGAGGATTAGCAGACATGACTAGGACGCTGACCTGCTGCTTTGACCAGCTAGTTACAGGCCTTTCTCCACAATACTCAGCACTCTTTGGAAGGTCAAAACTCAACATTTTCCTACAAAGTTTAGGAGAGCAGAATGGGCCATATCCAGAGATGCAAATTTTTAGCTACTTAAAAATATTTTTACATGCCGGATTCATGCCACATTCCTTCCCCTACCTACCCCGACTCTCCACCCATTGCTAATTCAGTATCTCACAGCACCAGTAGTATGTACTCTTTTGTTTTTTTCTTAATTGTACAGTTCCATGACCTTTCAGGTCTTTATTTGAAACAATGAAATAAACAGTACAGATTGTCCTATAATTCGACTCTTCTTTATGAGTGGTAAAACAGATGCCATTACTTCCTTAATGCATCAACAGGAGAGAAACTATTACAATAACATCACCTTCTTATGTGAAACATTGAAGGAAGGGATTAAAAATATGTTTGTGCATATTTAGTGTGCCCCAAATTAAAATACATTTTTCAAAATACATTTTGAAATGTACCTTTGTTAAATGCCTTGCATACAGTGTTTGAACAATATGAAATCTAACAGGTACTGCTGTTGCTACTAATAGCGTTCTCATTTGAAAGACTTCATCAAGCATCTTTTGGAACTGTGTAGCCTGGTATCCTGAGAAAATCAGGTTTATACAATCACAATATCTTGATGTGTATGTAAGCACCTCTCTGCCTCTCCCTAATCAAATTTGAGCTTGTTTGTTCAATTCAACCATTGATAACAGAGGTGTTGGACAGACAATTCCTGCTTTCACAAGGAAATGCAATAGCATAAACTTGAAGCTTCTGACACAACTGCCACAAGGCCACAAAGAAAGGATGTGAATATCTCAGCCACAGGAAAACCTGACTGAGAGCTTCCAGCTTGGAGATACCGAAGATTTAACCACAAAAACTAGGCTTCCTTTGTTCCACTACTGACATAAAGTATTTTGGCAAAGAGGAGAGAGGACTTTCAACATTCTTCTACAATTTCAGTCCATACATTTTAGCAGGGGGGAGGTTTTCCAAACCATTAAAGTAGTGGCCTAACTACACCAAGGGGAGTCTTGCTCAGAACCGTAATGTAAGGAAGTGAGGCTGCTGAAAAGTCCACACTAATAGTGTTGGGCATTTTATGCATTGTCTGGTCTACCCTATGCTCATGACAGGCTCTAAGGGAGGAAAGAAAACAAGTCTAATGACCTGCTTTAAACCACATACACTCACTCCCGAGCCACAGGGGGCTTTCCTGACAGCAAAAAAAATCCAGTGGATGCTCATATTTCCGGTCACACATCTTTCTCTCAAGTCTGTAAGAAGTGTGAGGGATATATTGTGGCAGCACTGGTCACCAGCTGGCTGTCCTGAGAAGGGAGGATTCTCAGCTGCTAACATCCATGGAGTAACCATCTATCTAGAGCTGTCAGATGGTCTTCTGGTATGATCCCGGCTATTTGTCTGACTGTCATAAGGAAGCAAGTCATCATTCTCACAACCTCCGTGCCTTAAAAAAAGTAGACAAAAGTCAGCTATATTTCACAAGAACGATTATGCTGTCAAGATCTGCGGTCCCACCTGGGTCAAAACACTTTGCCAAATGAAATCTTGAAGATATTTTCATTTGGTTAAACAAAACAAATAAAAACCCCAAAACCTTCAGGAAAAGATTCAGGCACAGTAATATCCTGTTCTTGGCCATTTCAGAATCGCTTCATTTTTATATCAACTGTTGTTTTTTTCTGTTTTATTTTGCTGTAAAATTAACTCATAGAAAGAAAGGCTCATAACCTCCCAACCACCCCAAGAGAGTAAAGACAAGTTAGATTGACTATCACTGGCTACATTTCCAGAATCATGAAATTATATTCATTCTTCTACCAACAACACTCTTTTCCCTATTTGAAATATTTTCACCAAAGGCATTAACCTGACATTTCTGCTGCTCTGGTTTGACAGATGCTTCATGAAGAACTATTGCTATAGTGACTAGTTAAAGAGAAGACAAATATCACTATGACAATAGTGAAGAGGGTCAGAAGGGAGCAGGAGGGAAAGTAAGTTACCATCTGCATTTGCTTTCCATGCTGTTTGTGCCCTCCTTTTGTTACAGGTCCTGCAGTAGTGTTCTCCTCCTGTTGTAGAGGGGCAAGCAGTACTAAAAAGAGATGACAATACCTGCAAGCTTCAGTTTACCAGAGGAAGGTGCACATTTTCAGTTCCATCACCATACAAGTAAGCAGTACCTTTTGTGCTTAACACCAAATGTACAAGAATCTCCCAGGAAATTATGTATACATATTTAGAAATGCATAAAAAGGCTTGAATAATAATGTAAAAAGCCCCTAATCATTCATTCACTACATGCTTCTAGTAAATTGGAAGACTTACAATACTAAAGATATGACACATACCCACCTAAAACAGCACTGTGCCTCAGAGTTAATGGTCCAATACAAAGTTCCCTGGAATTTTTCCACTCACTCTTACAGTCTTTGGATGAATTGCTGGCAAAAATCTAATCCCCAGTATAGCCAAGACAGACTTCAGTATCACACAAGCCTTCCCCACACAGGCAAACACTCACAGCTGTTTCCAAGTGCACTCTCCGATGTGCAAGCTCTAGATTTATTCAGCACTGGAAGGGGGGAAGAAGGAATATTCATTTCTAAGGAGGGAAGAGCAGGGACTGTCACAATTTCAAGCCTAGCCAACTGAGGCTTAGGGACTTAAAGAAACACAGCCAGCCTCCAGCAGATGAGTTCTAACAAAATTTTAGTAAACGGGTACATTATTTACGAATACAAAAGCCTCAGGAGAAACAAACCCAGAGTTGATGTAAAGCAGATACTTTAATCAATAAACCTATAGCAGAAACCATCAGCACCAGTCCTATTTAAAACCAGCCCTTTACAATTTAAAGGCCAAATCACAATCTGTGCAGCAATTCTGCTGGCTTTTATGACCATTTCCCCTTTTCCCTGCTTAAGCGACATAGTTCTGCAAACTTTCTAATTCAGTCTAACAATAGCTGCCAGTAATGAGAGCTTTCAGATTAAACTCATTCCTTCCAATTTTGCATGTACATCTCTTCAGAATCCAAATCCTTTCGGATTTATACACATATTCCCTGATTGTAATAGAAGACACTTTTTAGCATATTAAGTATATAATACTTAAATAAAGGTGAGGAA